TTTATGTTTGTTTGTTTGTAGTGCTGGTTGTCAAATCCAAGATTTCGTGCATACTAGGCAAGGGCTCTACCACTAAGCTATGCCCCCAGCCCCCAGAAAAACTTATTTGAGAATAATTTCACACCTAGTAAAGATAATACAAATAATACCCATATACCTTTTTGTCAATATTTTGCCCCACTTGGTTTGTATTCTGTATATACATATATTTTTATTAGTACATGTTTATAGTACATAGTGATCACATTCCTCATGAGGAGTTGGTACATGTATGTAATGCATCTTAATTCTTTTTTTTTAATCCTATTCATCCATCCCTCCCACTCCATCACTTGGTCCTCTTCCCATATGCAAAAAGTCTTATCTCCCTGTTTCCTATTGTCTGTCTTTTATTTTGCTCTTTACTTATATTTTGGGTTTCTCATATATGAGAAACCATACAATATTTAAGCTCATGTGTCTCATTACGTTTAACATTATGGGTGTCGGTTATTTTGTCTCAGCAATGAGAAAAATAACTAAGACACACGTATAACAAAATTCACTCTGTGGTGTAAGTTCCTTAGGTTCTAAAAAATGTAGAGTTGTGTATTCACCACATATAATCATGTACTGTTCCATTAATTAACACATTTATGATGGAGTCATAATTCATATGTTTAGCTGCCAGGTGGCTCTGATCCACCAGTGGTATGTGCATGGCTGTCCCATGGGCAGCATGGGACAGTCCCATCGTGTGGTACAAGCTGCTCAGTGGGACAGTCATACATGTACCACCAGTGGTTCAAGCCAGTGGGAGCATGCTGACTCAAAGAATCCCTTAAAAAATACTGGTTTTTGAGACATACACGGTGCATTTGTTAAAGTTTTAAACCCTTCTTACAGGTAAAGGACTCAGTTTCTGAGAAAACAATTGGACTGATGCGAATGCAGTTTTGGAGAAAAACTGTGGAAGATATATACTGTGACAACCCACCACATCAGCCTGTGGCCATTGAACTATGGAAGGTAAGAAAAACAAACTGCTACTTTTAATTTGTAAGAATATTATTTGAGCCTACTTTTTGATGATGATAGTGGAATCTACCCTGCAAATTATCATAAACTAATGTAATGTTCAGATCCATGTTGATTTTGTCAGAGGAATTTCCAATCATCCACTGATAATTTGAAGAGGTATTTGGTATGCTACTTCTTTCTTTTTTTTTGTTGAAGGGTTGGGGTGAGGTTTTAAGGCAGGACCTTGCTATATAGTCCAGGCTGGCCTTGGACTCAATATATGGCCCCACATTGGCCTCAGATTCCTGCCTCAGGGTCTGGTGTATTTCTTTATTAAGGAAAAAAAAGAACGATTTGGTATCTTATGGATTACTTATGTATTTATCCACATTTAGCTGTAGAATTTAAAATCCCTCAAATTTTGATTCAATGGAAGGTAAATTTTCTACTCTTTTTTTTGTGGTACCAGGGATCAAACTCACAAACTTGCGCTTGTGAGGCAGGCACGGTGCCACTGTGCTAAATCCCCAGCCCATAGTTTTCTATTTTCTGCACAGTAGCTAGCTCCTTATACCAGTTTCTGTACTGTAGAATGACATATCTTTTGCGAAAGGAGACTTGCTCTCAGCATATTCCACTTACAAATCTGAAACTACTTTGTAGAATTGCCCATTTGTTGGTGAATTTGGGGTATTGAGATTGGGACCCTATGGGGTAGAGCAGTGATGGCGGACCTTTTAGAGCTTTCAACGATACCAAGAGCCCACTGTGGCACGGGTGCCATAGGTTCACCACCACTGAGCTACAGTATTGTTTTTATAGCTAGATGTATAGAGTGAATGGTTTTATATTGAAGCAGGCATATAGATTACTCATTCATAAATGACCATGCATAGTTTAGAAGTATGCTAAACCAGTGGTGGTGAACCTGTGGCACAGGTGCTGTAGCCGGCTGTTTGTTACCATTGAAAGCCCAAAAAGATTCGCCATCACTGCCAGCTAAACTGTGAATGGAGGAAGGGAATTAGGTGTCTTTTGTCACTGATCTGTGACCCCATTGTAATGTGATAAGTGCTGAAAGAGGGTTTTGCAACAGGAGCCACTGAGAGACCTGACAGTGGTACGCCTCTTCCCAGGTCTGTGCGCCAGCAGAGGCAGACCTGGTTTTGGGGCCCCAGATTGACTCCACAGAGCCCCAGTAAAGATGGAGGGCCAGACTCCCTGCCCCACACCAGGCACTGAGAAGAAAAAGTGGATGGGAAGCTGTGAGTATTAGATCAGTTGTTTACCTCTTCTCATTCCACTTCACGCAGCTCAAGCCAGGTGACTCAGAGTAGAGAAAAGTTTCTCTAAACTCCAGAAACCCTTCCTGCTTATTATTTTGTACACAAGCCTGATTTCAGTGGATGTTTGTGTTAACACTTGCATCAAAGATCCTGGCCTTTGTCAGGAATATGGTGGAAGATCAGAGATTCCTTTAATGCAGATTTATCTTTGGCTTCTTTTTAAAAAGCAGAAGATACATCTAAGTACATATTATACATCTAATTACATATTATATATCTAATTATATATGTGCTGATTTAGGATTACCAATTTGTCCAATTTTAATAAGATGTATAGATTTTTTTTTTTTAGCAAAACCAGGGGTGCTCTACCACTGAGCAGCCTTTTTTATTTTGTTATTCTGAAACAGCATCTTGCCACATTGCCTATGCTGGCCTTGAACTTGGGATCCTCCTGCCTTAGCCTCCCAAGTAGCTGGGAGTATAGGTGTTCGCCACTGTGCCTGGCACCACAGACTCTGAAGTCAGATTCTTTTACAGAGAGGGGATGGTGACATTATGTTGTCTAGAGAGCACTTTTCTGCTATAGTGTGTCACTGGTATTTTCAGAGTACAAAATAGTTGAGTATTTATAATCCCCTGCCCTGCCCCTGGTCTCACTAAATTGCTGAATTTTTTTTTTTTTTGGTACTGGGGATCAAACTCAGGACCTTGCACTTTCGAGGCAGACAGCAGCACCACTGAGCTAAATCCCCAGCCCCTAAATTGCTAAATTGCCCAAGCTCAACTGGTCATTCTCCTTCCTTAGCTTCCCAAAGTGCTGGGATTATGGGTGTGCTCCACCACATCTGGCAAATATTTGCAATTTCTTCATTCTGTATAGGATTTTCAGTTTCTCTGCATATGAATATTAGTTGATTTTACATTTTATAGCCAAGATTTTTATTCTATTTGGCTTCATTTTCCAAAATTAAGTATTTTTTAAGTATTTTAAAGTATTTTTTCTTTTACCTTGATCTCTAATTTCCTTCAGAAACAGAACCATGTTTTGTGGTCAAGGTGTACTGTAGGTGTTTTTGCTTTAGCCTTCAGTGAATATGGGTTTCATGTCTCATTTATTAAATATATAGTGAGTACTTCTATATGTCAGGAACATGCCTAGTGGTGTGTTTACAAAGATCAAACCTCCTTGTTCTACTCGGACACATATAAAATAAACCAAGACAAGAGGCTGCAATGGTGGCTGCCCACTTCCTGGGACATGGGGGCAATCCTGCCGGGGTTCCTGCCATGGGGCAGTAGCAGCTGAGAGCGCTTTGGAACTCGCTCCACACAGCCCTTTCGGCTCTCTCAGGTGCCTGCTAGACAAAGTGGGCTCTGTTCTCCATACTTACAGCCTTCATCCATAAATTCATACTGATGAGCACGCCAACCTTTCCATTCTAGCGTCCATGACATCTGAGAGTATTAGTTGAAGTATAGGATCTTTCTCAGACTTTACATTTCACCACTGTATTTATTTATTGTGAAAAGGTACTTAGCTTTGACTTGGCAAAAAGTTAATGTTTTAAAAAGTTATTTGGACCTCAACCTAAATATTTCAGTATTTCTGAAGAAGAGAGATATATTCTCTTTTAAAACGAGAACAGTTACTGACTTTAGTAAATTTAACTTTGGTGTATTACTTTTGGTATAATACTAGTTTCATATTTCTATTATAATTTTATTTTTCCCCTCCAGTATGGGATCCCATATAGGGTCAAGAATATAGTTGTCATATCTCCTTAGCTTACTTTGATCTGGAACATTTCCGTGGCTTTTGTCTTCTCTGACATTGACATTTTAAAAGGCTATATCCCCCTGCCATTTTTTCCTCCCTAGAAAGCAAGAGCTTTACTACTGAGCTGCAGACCCAGTCTTTTAAATTTTTCATTTGAGACAAAGTCTTGCTGTGTTGCCCAAGCTGACCTTGAACTTACAATCTTCCTGCCTCAGTTTCCCAAGTAGCTGCTATTACAGGTGTTCACCACGATGCCTGGGCTCTGTCTATCTGTCCTTTATTGGCATTGTTGCTATTTATTGCCCAGTCAGGATTTTTCCTGATTTTCTTGTTGTGCAATTGTTGTGGAACTAATCAGCCACCTTTGCCATGATACTTTAAAGCTGTGTAGTTATCTTGCTCTTCATCCAAGTTCCTCCCTTTGCTTAGCAGTCCTTCATGGTTTTCTATGACTCAGTCTACTATTATGGTTGCAAAATGATAATTTCCCAGCACAGTCTGTCCACATTTACCAGTTGGCACCTGGCCTTCTGTGAGAATGAGCTCTTCCTCTCCTGTTGTTCATAAGTCCTGGTGTGGATTTACAGATTCCTGTTTGTTCCTAGTTGTTTGTAATTCATTACTGCACAAAATTATTTTGATGTTCAGATGGTTCCGGATTTGGACAGTGGGAGCCCCTTCAGACTGGCTCCTAGGTCTTTTTGACAGGCCTCCATTTTTTTAAAGCACTTTTTTGTTTTCTGACACAGTAAGATATTCTAGGATTATCTGAACTTCTCCTTACTCCTCTTTGTTTTTTTGAGGCAGAGTCTTGCTATGTAGTCCAGGCTAGCTTTGACATCACTGTGTAGCCCACGCTGGCCTCAAACTCCCGATCCTCCTGCTTCAGCCTCCCGAGTGCTGGGATCACAGGTGTGCGCCACCATGCCCGGCTCCCTTACTCCTCCTGAATCACCTGTTTCCCTAGAACCCTGATTCCTTTGGGACAAGTTATTTAGAGACCACGGTCTGGTACGCCGTGGCCTCGTTCCTGCCGGAGTGTCTGTAACTTGCTAAGGTAACAATTTTCCCTGCAGATTATTTTCAGTTGACTTTTAGTTAGTCTTTTACTTTTGGAGAAGTGGTTATTTTTGCTAACTAGACTATCTTGTGGGAGGAAGTTTGTATATAATATGTAGGGTACATTATATAATAGAAAAGCTCAGTATTTCTTTTTTTTTTTGGTACCGGGGATCGAACTCGGGTCCTTGCGCTTGCGCAGCAGGTGGCGAAACCACTGAGCTAAATCCCCGGCCCAGTATTTCTTATTTTTATTTGAAAGTGGAATTGTTAATGACCAAAAACACTGGGGGGAAAAGACAGTGGAAAAGTATGAGAAATATCTTGAATGTTTTGAAATGTTTTCAAGAGATATTTCCTTGCCTCTGATACTTAACACAGCTGTCTGTCTCGTGATGAATTATTACAAATGTTCCCTTCCTTAGTTTTGCATTTGGTTTGTCTGTTCAGATCTACAGAAGTCATTTCTAGTACTTCCTAAAAACTTCTAACACTCTTGTCTTTCTAGGCTGTTAGAAGACACAGTTTGACTAAAAGATGGCTTATGAAAATCATTGATGAACGAGTAAGTTGAAGCTGTCCAAGTCTTAAGTGTTTTCTCCTTTTTTAACCCTTAAGCTAATTCTTTAGGGAAGAAATGTTCTAATGTATATATTAATATTTTGAAGGAAGGAAACGTTATGAGAATTATGCCATTTTACCTGTATTCTGTCCCTACATGCCACCCTCTGCTTCATCACTTTGAGATAGTAGGCAAAGACAGACACCTAGGCAAAGTCATGTACACAACTACACTTTATTAGTTTGGATTTTTAAATTTAACTTTTATTTTTATTTTTTGTGATATTAGGGACTGAACCCAGGGCCTTCACACTGAGCTATATCCCTAGCCCTTTATATATTTTTTTCTAATTACTGTACTCTTACTAATATTTAATAATTGTACATATTAATGAGATACAATGTGATATTTCAATACATACATAAACATGAACCGGTCAAGCCAAGGTAATTAGCAATTATTCTTTTAAAAAATTTATTCTGATTTTTATTAGTACATGTTTGTAGTACCTCATGATTGCTTTCATCATGGGGAATTAGTATGTGTACATAACACATCTTAATTCTTTTTAGTTCCCTTTTTCTTTCCCTCTATCTTTTGGTTCCTTTCCCATGTACAAAAGATCTATTTCCCTGTTTCCTAGTATTTATATTATATTTTGCTCTTTAAATGATTTGTACTTTTGAGTTTCTCATATAAGAGAAACCATGCAATTCTAAGCTTGAGTGTCTCATTTATTTCACGTAACATTATTGTTTCAAGATTCATCTATTTTCCTACAAGTGACTCAAGTCTATCTTTCTCTGTGTCAGAATAGTACTGTATCATGTGTAAATACTGCATATTCTTTATCCATTTATCTGTTGATGAATATATAGTTTGCTCCCAACATAGCAGCTCATGTGAGTTGTTCTACTATAAACATAGGTATGCGTGTAACACTGTTATATGATGTCTTTGCCTCTTTTGGGAAGATAACTAGAATGGGGATAGCTGAGTTGAATGGAATTTCTATTTTTAGTTTTTTGAGGCATCTCCATCTTGAGTCCTAGAGTGGTTGTACTAGTTTACATTCCTACCAACGATGTAGAAAGGTTTCTTTTCTGCTTCAACCTTGCTGGTATTTGTTATTTGATATTGGAGTATAGCCATTCTTTCTAGATGAAATCTCAATTTTGTGTTAATTTGCATTCTCTTATGGCTAAAGATGTTGAATATTTTTTCATGTATTTATTGGTCATTTGTACTTCTGAGAAGTATCTATTCACTTCAGTTGCTCATTTTTTGATTGATTTCATAGACTAAAAATCAAAGAATGGAGAACAATAGTCCAATGGGAGCCCCCAAACAAGCAGGACTAGTAACACTGTTTTCAGACAAAGTGGACTCTAACCCAAAACCAATCAGAAGAGGCAAAGAACTTTACTACAACTAGTTAAGGAAACATTCAACAGGAATGTTGTATGTATGCACTGAACACTGGTGTACTCAACTTCATAAATCAGACACTACTGGACTTAAGAGAGTATGTAAACATCAACACAATTTTAGTGGGGAAATCTCAATACCCCACTATCACAAATAGACATATTAACTGGACAAAAAAGATCAAGAAAGAAATATCAGAGTTGAACTGTACTTTCAAACAAATGGACTTGATAGGTATCTACAGGGTGTCCTACCAAACAACAGAATACATATTCTTCTCAGCAGTACATAGAACTTTCTCTAAAATAGACCACATGGTGGCCTGTAAATCTTGCTTAAATAAATACAAAAGAATTAAAATTATCTCATCCATATTATCAGATTATAGTGCAATCAAACTAAAAATTAATGGCAAAAGAAACCGCAGAAAGTATGCAAACACATAGAAGTTAAACAACATACTCTTGAATAATCAGTAGGTCACAGAAGAAAGTAAGAAATTAGACAGTACCTAGAATCAAATGACTGCCACAACAACGTACCAGAAGCTGTAAGACTCAGTGAAAGCAGTCCTAAGAGGGAAGTTTATAAGTGTGAATCAGAAAAACAAAGTGAGCCCAAGTAAATAACCCATTGATCCACCTCAAGTCCTAGAAAAACAAGAACAATCCAAATCCAAAGATAGTGCATAGAAGGAAATTATAAAGATCAGAGCAGAAGTTAATGAAATTGAAATTAAAAAAAATTTATAAAGAATCATTGAATTGAAGAGCTGTACTTTGAAAGAATAAACAGAATAGACAAACCTGCAGCCTGTCTTACCAAGAAAAGGAAAGACTCAAATCAATGCAATTAAAAATGAAAAAGATAGGGGCTGGGGATTTAGCTCAGTGGTTCTGCTGCCTGCCTTGCAAGTACAAGGTCCCGAGTTCGACCCCTGGTACCAAAAAAAAAAAAAACCCCACCAAAATTGAAAAAGACAAAATAACAATAGATACGTCTGCAATCCAGAGAATTATTAGTAGCTACTTTGAAAACGTGTACTCAAATAAATTGGAGAATCCAGAAGAAATGGATTCCTAGATAGGTGTGAATTACTAAAAGTGAACCAAGAAAATATAAAAATCCTGAATAGGCAATGAAAATCCAATAATAGCCAATGAAATTGAGGCAGTAGTGAAACAAAACAAAAAAACCTACCAACTAAGAAATCTAGGACCTGATGGATTTACCACTGAATTCTACCAGAACTTCAAGGAAGCTCTAATACCAATACTCCACAAACTCTTTAATGAAATTGAAAGGGAAGGAGTACTGCCAGACTCATTCCTGGAAGATACTGGTAGTATTACCTTGACTCCAAAACCAGACAAGGACTCAACTAAAAAAGAAAACTATAGGCCAGTCCCTTCAATGAACATAGATGCAGAAATCTTCAAGGTACTGGCAAACAGAATGCAACAATCATTAAAAAGATTATATATTGGGCTGGGGATTTAGCTCAGTAGTGGTGCCACCACCTGCCTTGAAAGCACAAGGTCTTGAGTTCAATCCCTGGTACCAAAGGAAAAAAAAAGATTATATGTCAAGACCAAGTAGGGTTCATTCCAAGGTTGCAAGGATATTTCAAAATACACAAATCCATAAATGTAATATATCACATAAACAGACCTAAGGGCAAAAACCACATGATCATCTCAATAGGCAGAAAAAGCCTTTGACAAAATCCAACATCCATTCATGATAAAGCCCTGAAGAAAATAGGTATAAAAGGACCTTATCTCAATCTCTTACAAGCCATTTATGACAAACCTACTGCCAACATCATATTAAGTGGGGGAAAACTGAAAGCTTTTTCTCTAAAATCAGGAACAAGACAGAATGTCTACTATCAACCAGTCCTGTTCTAAATATAGTGCTTGAAACATTAGCTAGAAAAATCAGACAAAAATAGGAAGGATGTGTTTAGGAAAGGAAGAGATTCCAGACAATATGATTGTTTACATAAAGACACCCAAAATTTTACCAACAGACTCCTAGATCTAATAAATTCAACAAGATAATAAAGTCAACACAAAAATCAGTAGTGTTCCTGTACACCAATAATGAACTCACCGAGAAAGACATTAGGAAAACAATACCATTTACAATAGCTTCAAGAAAAATTACATACTTTGAAAGTAATCTGACCCAAGGAAGTGAAAGACCTCTGTAATAAAAACTACAGTATAGTACTCTGAAAAAGGAGATTGAAGAAGACAACAGAAAATGGAGAGATATCCCCTGTTCCTGGCTAGGGAGAACCAATGTTGTGAAAATGGCCATAACTCATAAATAGATTAATGTAGGCCCAATCAGAATACCAGCAGCATTCCTTAACTAGAAATAACAATCATGAAATTTATATGGAACCAACAGAGACCTAGAATAGCAAAAGCAATCCTGGGTGACAAATGCAAAGCAGGAGGCATCATAATCCCAGATTTCAAGTTATATTACAAAGCTGTGGTGACAAAAGCAGCATGTTACTGGCAGAAAAACAGATGTGGATCAGTGGAACAGAGAAAAGAATGCAGAAACTACCCCTAGGCACATTCAGCCATCACTCAAAGGACAAAGGGGTCAAAACCATATGCTAGGGGAAAGATACACTCTTTAACAAATGGTACTGGGAAAACTGGCTATGCACATGCAGAAGATTGAAGCTAGCCCCATATCTCTCACCATGTACTAAAATAAAATCAAAAGGGATAAAAAAATCTAAATATTAAAACAGCCTGGTATGATGGCTCACACCTCTAATCCCAGCACATTGGAGGCTGAGGCAGAAAGATCGCTGAAAGTTTGAGGCTAGCCTGAACTACATAGTGAAAACCTGTCTCAAAAAACAAACCACAAAATAAATCAGAAACAATCTTCTGGAAGATACAATAGGCAAAACTCTTGAAGGCATTGGAAGAATCAATAAATGGAATTATGTCAGATCAGCAAAGGAAATAACCAGCAGGGTGAGGAGATTGCTACAGAATGGGAAAAATTTTTGCCAGGTATTTCTCAGATACAGGATTAATATCTAGAATAGACAACTAAAAAAATTGACCCCTTTAAAAATTTTTGTTATTTATTTAATTTTGAGACAGGGTCTTATTGAATTGCCCAGGTTGGGCTTGAATTTATTATCCTCCTGCCTCAGTGGTCCAGAGTACTGGGATTACAGGCATTTGCCACCATCCCTGAATAGTTATGGTTTTTATAAATGGAAATTTTTATACTTGTACAAAAGTAGAGAAAATAATATACTTTCATGTATCTGTCACTCAGCTTTAATAGTTATCAAAATATGTCATCTTGTTTCATGTATATTCTGGCTCCTCCTCACTGACTCTCATTGAATTATTTTAAAGTAAAGCCCAGAATATCATTTGACCTGCAGATGCATGTGTCTTAGGAAGATAAAGACTTCTCAGAAACATAGCCACAATATGATTGTGTACCATATCATTAGTTATAATTCCTTAATATTATCAAATACTTGAGTAGTGATTCACATACCTTCAGGTTCACCTGAGTAGAGAGAATGAAGAAAGTCTGACGAGTCTAGTGAATGGAATGCTTACTAATTCTTAGAACTGAATTCTGGGTCCAGTCAAACCTATTAATTGCTCTGTGGCCCAGCCTTACTTGTGTAGTCATTTTATTTTATTTAACTCATTTACTTACTTTTGCAGTCCAAAGGATCAAACCCAGGATCTTCACACTGAACTACATAGCTACATCCTCAGGCCTTTTTATTTTTTATTTTGAGACATGTCTCACTAAGTTGCCTAGGCTAGGTTTGAACTTGGCTATCCTCCTGCCTCAGCATCTCAGAGTGCTGGTGTTATAGGTGGGTGCCTCCACACCCAGCTTTAATGTTATTTTAATCTTATTTTATGGTGTATTGAATATGATAAATGATTTTTTTAGAGAAGAGAGTTGAGACAGGGTCTAATTTCTAATTATATAGTCCAGGCTGGCCTTGAGCTCACTATGTAGCCAAAGCTGGCCTCAAACTCACAATCTTCGTGCCTCGGCTTCCTGAATGCCAGGATTACAGGGATGTACTACCATTCTTGGCTGATATTTTTAGTTCTTTTTTTTTTGGTACTGAGGATCAAACTTGGGTCCCACAGCAGGGAGCAAAACCACTGAGCTAAATCCCCAGCCCTAGTTCTTTTTGATATTTTAGTTTATTTAGTTCATTAGGGAAAATAGAATCTTTTCTTCATAAAATATTGATATTAAACAAACTTTCTTTGTATTTTCTTTGACTATAGGAAAAAAATTTGGATGACAAAGCATATCGTAATATCCAGGAACTTGAAAATTATGCTGAAAACACACAGAGTTGTCTTCTGTATTTAACACTGGAAATATTGGGTAAGTTGTTTTTCTATTTCATACTTCTTTTTTCAAGTAAAAATACCTTTCAGATTTCACCCCTAATTTTGACAGTCTAAACAGATTAGCACTAGAATTTGCCTTGTACTGTACTCTATAAAGGTACACTTAAAAAGAAGTCAGAAGGAGAATCTGTATCTGTATCTCTGTCCAGCTCCAGCTCTAGCTCTAGCTCTATCTCGATCTCGATCTCGATCTCTAGCTCTCTCTCTATCTTTGGAGTGCAGACATTCCAAATATAGTACTCAGGCTCTCACAGATATTTCATGGGAAAACTCTAGTAAATAACCTGATAATTGCAGATAGCTGCTTTTTTTTTTTTTAAACTATAGCATCTCTTAATTTGAAAGGCTCATATCTTAACTCTTCCTTTTCTGTCAATGACATTTCTTCATGTAAAAGAAAAAAAAAGTAGAAAAATAAATTATTTATGAAAGATTTTTCTCTCTTCTCTTTTAAAAAAAATTTTAGCTTTAATTCCAGCCACTCAGGAGGCTGAGGCAGGAGGATCTCAAGTTCAAGTCCTGCCTGGGCAGCTGAGCCAGCTGCTGTCTCGATATAAAGAATAAAAGGATGTGGCTCAGTGGTAGCCTGTCCATGGGTTCAGTTCTCAGTACTGGAAAAAAATATTCGATGGTATTTTCCTCCTCTGACTTTGTCCCAAGTTAATGACATCTTATTATAATGAGGAAAACATTTGGGACCAGGACAGTACCATCTCATTTGAAGGCGGTAGTATGTCTTTATGTTACCCTGAAAGAATAATACCAGTCCCCGTCAAACTACCTGGACTGTTCACCCTGCATCCCTGGAAGCCATGTTTACCATCAGTTTGCCATTGTAACGAAGCAGATAGCAAAGGGTAGAATGTTTGTTAAGCATGTACTTGAGGTGAGCTCATGCGGAAATTCCAGTGGAGAAGAAATGGAGACTTTTAATTACTTTCCACGATAGCTGATTGAAATTCTAACTGTGTTCTCAGTGTTCTGGTATTTGAGGAAAACTTGATTCAGATACTTTCTAGTAGGAAAATGATCATCATTACCTGGAGCCCAGTTTTTGCCACATAAATCCTATTTTTCAGAAATAAAACAGGCTAAACACCTAGTTTTATGTCTTTAGGTGATTTTTCTATGCTCTATTGATTTATGTGCCTAAAGAGAACAAAGCAGCCTTGTTTCATTTCTAAACCATAGGTATAAAGGATCTCCACGCAGATCATGCCGCCAGTCACATAGGAAAGGCACAAGGCATTGTCACTTGCTTGAGAGCAGCACCCTATCATGGCAGCAGAAGAAAAGTGTTTCTTCCCATGGATATTTGTATGCTGGTAAGGGTGTGGTGTGTGGTGTGCTACTTCTCAGAATTCACCCCAGTAATATGGGGAGGAAGTTATTTCTTGGTTCTTTGCTTAGTCTCTTCTACTAACTGCTTTGACAGGAATGTTTACTGCTTCCTGCAAATGTTCTTCCTCCTCATGTAATAGTTATCCAGTCAGAATTTTATCTGTCAGGGTCTGATGTAGTGGTACACATTTGCAACCCTCGCTACTGGAGGCTGAGACAGGAAGATCCCAAGTTTGAGGCCATCCTGGGCAATTTAACAAGACTGTCTCAAGGTAAAAAATAAAAAGAACTGGGGCTGTAGCTCCATGGTAGAGTATTGCCTAGGTTTGATCCGTAGCATATTAGGGCTCTGGAGGAGCTATGAGTAAGAAGGTCTATGAATCCTCATCTGATGTAGCTTTACCTTGATGTCTTACAGTTGTCCAGGCAATCTCAGAAATTATTCCTAGTGTTCACCTTGGCCTGTCCTAGTTTTATTGGAGGAAATAATCCACTGGGGGTTGAACCAAGGCCTTTGAATCGAGCTACAACCCCCTCCACCCCCATTTTGAATTAACTTGCTAAATTTAGCCCAGGCTGGGCTTGAACTTGGAGTCTTCCAGCCTCAGTCTCCCAGAGTGCTGGGATTACAGGCATGTGCCACCACACCTGGCTTAAAATCTTCTTTTTCAGAACTTTTGCTTTCTGTATGAGATTCTTTAAACTTGTCTGTGTTGGTTTCCTTGTTTTTGTATTTTTGTTTTACCTACAACTGTTTTGTTAATTAACATCTTGTTGGATATTCCAGGTGTGTATATGTGTCTCTTTTTCTTTCTGTACACACTCATGCAGATTGAAAAAACAGTACCATATGTACTGTTCTATCTATAAAGTACCTGTTTTTTTGAGCTTTGTTGATGTTGTGTGCTTCTAGAGTCCTAACATAATGTGTATTTTCCCTCATAGCATGGTGTTTCACAAGAGGACTTTCTGAGGAAGAACCAAGATAAAAATGTGAGAGATGTGATATACGACATTGCCAGCCAGGCACACTTGCATATAAAACATGTAAGTAGCCACTTTTTGCCCAGTCATTTAGGAAATTACTATTTCTAGATGTGGCTATATGGTATTCTTACCTTCACAGTCTCTACTCCTTTTGCCATTGAATTTTCAGAAGATTTATCTCAGGGACTATTGTAAACTTTTCCCACTTTAAAAACCCTCCACTTCCCTCCCTAAGCAGGTGCGTGTCCCTGTGGCTTGGTTGCTATGCCTGGGCTTTCTCAGGTGAGCTGCTCTGCTCAGTGCACAGGGCCTGTCTGCCATGCCACGACTGCTCATGTTTTCTCTCTCTCCCAGGACCTCATGTCCTCAGCTGGTGCCTCCTGCTGCCTCTCTAGCAGCTCGCCCCTTGTTCTTCTGTCTTGTTGCTACTGTCTGTTTACAGGCACCCTATGGACCCTTATGTTTCTTACTTTTCTCTCCCAGTTAAAGTGGTTGAATAAGTGGTCTGGACTCATCATCACCTCAAAGTCCTTCCCATCCTGGTACTGCTCCTCGTGTTTTAATTTGGCTCTGTTTTGCCTGCTGTAATCCATTAGTCTCCTTATTGCTAAATTAGTGTTTCTGAGACAGTATCTCACTAGATAGTCCACACTGGAACTCACTCAGGCTGCCCTTGAACTCAACAATCTTCCTGCTTCTGCCTCCTAAATGCTAGGATTACAGGTGCAGGGTGACATTAGTGTTGTACAATAGGAAACTGCCTCCACTATTGAAACAAGAGTTTGAAGGTTGGGAGATCACTTAGGAGACTTAGGAGAGGAGGAAGTATGATTTAGAGAGAGTAGATGTTTATGTGTATTTATACACAACTGAAGCAGAATCAATGAGACTTGATAACTGATTGGATTGTGGCAGATCAGGAAGAGGGAAAGTCAAAGATTACACAAAGAATTCATATGATGGTGGTGCCTCTCACAGAAGCAATAAAAAAGGAGTGATGTGCTTGATGCTGATCTTTGGACTTCAGACTGGCTGCTGGACATACTGTACTTGAATCATTTAGCAAAATGGGCTAATGAGGAATAAAAGATTGTGACTTAAAAGAGGTTAGTCCTGGAGAGAGTAGATTTGGGAATTATGCATCAAACAGGTCTGGTTAAAGCTCTGAGTATAGATGGAGAACCTCCTCGAGGTTGCTGAAGGAGGACATACATCTAGACAGGAGGACCAGGGATGGGACCATGAGGGTCACCTCCCTTTCTCAGTGCAAAGAGAAAGGGCCGTTTCTTAGGAAGAAAGACAAGGAAAACAGAGTCAGTATCTTAAAAACAAAGGGAGGAAGGGAATATCAGAGTTTTCCATGCTGAAGAGAAACTGAAGAGAAAAAATGACTGTGATAATTAGTAGATCATGGATGATGTTTGAGCAATTTTAGTGGTCTATGGGGGGTAAAACCAGACTGCAGCGAGTCAGGAGGCAGAGACAGTGTGTACTCTTCTGACATAAGGGATGATACAAAGACACAGGACAAGAAGTCCAATGGCAGATGCAGGATGGTGGGCATCGGCCTGAGTATACCCGGTGTTCATAGCTCAGAGTAGCAGGGAGTTGGGTGGGCTTAGTGCAGAGAGAGGTTTCTGACTCCCAGTACGAGTAATTGAGATATGATTTGCCAGAGAGTGAACTTAAAGAAAGTAAAAATGAAGTAATGTCTGCATGGAATGAGTTAAAGATTTGGAGCACAGAGGCAGGAGGGTCTTACCATCTAAATAGGAGGTTGTGCCAGTCTAAACTGGGGCAGTGCTGGGACTTGTTAATGCAAGTATCTCTTCATTTACCCCTTACTACAGAGTTAGACCGTTAAAGTTATGAGATGTTGTAAGATTGTTGGAAAATGCAAAAGCCAATCCATAAGAAAGAATGGAATTTTCAATATTGTACAGTAGTTACTTTTCTCTGAGTCCATTTGGCTTTGGAAACGAATCATAGTTAACTGGCAGGAGATGAGCTATTTTCTTGCTTTTGAGAGGCCATAGTCACACTGTTCAACTGCTCTTGTTGCTTTATGTTCTCTTTCACAGGAAGAGTGTTTATTTGTGAAATTTTTCCAACCAGTTTCCTTTTTCTGTTTTCCTTTTCAGGCTAGGTCCTTCCACAAAAGTGTTCCCGTGAAAGCATTTCCTGCCTTTCTTCAGACAGTAAGTACTTTAGCAGAGAAAGCTATATAATTAGTGAAGCAGATGTGCGTAATCTCTTTCTATATTTTATGGAGTCCCCAGTGCAGTTCTTTCATTTGGAGTCTTTGGTTTTGCTTCTCTCCCTTATGGTGGGTTTTATTAGTTACATGATACTTTTGGTGACAGTCACATATGTCTCCAGAGGTTGGTGAGCAGAGTTATTGCACTGACTCTGCAGCCAGACTGTAGTGGGTTGAATCTACTTTGCCTCTTACTTGCTATAGGACCCTCAGTTTACCCACAGGTAAAATGGGAATAAAAGGAGAAAGTACCTCATGGAATTGTTAGGCTACTTAGTGCCAAAAAGGTATTTCTTCCTGTTCTCTTAGGGTTTTTTTCCCTATAATTACACCACTGTATTGTAGCATTGGCTCCAGAAAGTGGATCACAGACTGTGCTGAGCTGGCTGCATTGAATAACCTAGGAATCTTTTTTAGTATATGTGCTGCCGAAACGAGCATACCTAGGAATCTTTTTAAAAACAGATTCCTCATGGCTTCTTACTAAATAAAATTCTTGGGATTGAGGAAAGAGCCATTCCTAAGAGAATCTGTGATTTATAAAGTTTTCCAAGTTAAAAAAAAAGTTCCCATGGAATTCTGATGTGTAGTCAGTTCAGGAAACCATTGTTCCAAAATATATAGAGAAATTATAGTAATGTTCTATTTATGTCTTCTAGGACACACATGGTCTTTAATGTTTGTAAGATTTTTCCATATTGTGCCTAGCTGTTGTACCTTCATTTCTCCACAGTATATTTTATTTTATGAACAGTTTATTTTTCTTGTTGAAGAATTTCTGGGTTGTGTCCAAGACTTTTGCTAATATAAAACAAAGACACTGTGCATTTCTATGTACATACTGTTCATCTCTTTTTTTGTTGTTTTTTTTTTTTGGTACTAGGGATTGAACTCGGAACCTTGTGCTTGCTAGGCAGGCAGCGGAACCACTGAGCTAAATCCCCAGCTCCCATGTACATACTGTATTTCATGTTGTGCATACACATACAGTTAGGTTTTTAGAAAATAGGTACTACTTTTGTTTTTCTGTATGCTCATATGCCTATAAATGTATAAACAGTCTGTAAGAAAGTACAGTACTTTTGTTTTGCTTCTGTCTGTCTGTATATTAAAGAATCTGCAGGCCGCAACCAGATCACACAGGTTCTGCACTGCAGAACTACAGGGGGCGCTGTGCACATGGCCTGAGAAGGGAATGGTGCCTCAGAATTGCAGTGAGAAACTAAGTGACTTCCTTGTTTAATAAAAAAGCTATTAAAATAAAATAAAAATTTATAAATTAATAAAAAATTACAGAAAACAAAAAACCCAGAGATTTCTGTAGTGTTTTCCATCTTGCCTCTACCCTGTGAAAGCTTTGTCACATTTATGGGGTGACATTTATAGAGACCTGTGATTATTCTCCCTGGTTAGAAATCATGTTTTTCTAGAAAGAACATGCAGACCTATTAAACTTTTCACAAAATAATTTTTAAAAAGATGACTTGAACTCCCTCATAGAACACTGCATTTGTGGTGGGAAGAATGTTTTTCCATGATTAAAACAACTTTTTTTTTTCTCTTGGTGCTGGGGATTGAATCCAGGGTCCTCACATGTGCTTATCATGTGCTCCACCACTGAGTACACCCCCAGCTGAAACATCTCATTTTTATTGCACAGACTAGTTATAAGACCTTACGTCCTGGCTAGAATATTATGTATGACATTAGAAGAGGTTTGGTATTTCTAGCAGTAGCATTGTGATACTCCTGTTGGTCTAATAGAAACTTCTTGGAAGATTTCTTTATTTTCTGTCTCCCTTTTTGAATCTCATTAAATTCTTACTAGATAGAATACCATCTCAGGAAACTAAAATAGCCTTAATACTGGTAATTTTTCTTTAGTTTGTTTGAAAGACTTGATAATTTTATGATCTAATAACTACTATTCTCTTTTTTTTAGGTTTTCCTAGAGGATTATTTAAAGAAAATTCAACGAGTGGATTTTGATATATTCCACCCATCTTTACAGCAGAAGAATACATTACTTCCTTTGTCTTTATATATTCAGTCATGGAGGAAAAGATATTAAAATAACTCCCTGGTACCGATGTTAATTTACTTTCAATTTATTTGTTTATAAAAGTATACTTGTTAGGGTTTTTTATTTAGAAACAACAGATATTGGGGCCAGGGATTTAGCTCAATGGTTCTGCAGCCTGCCTTGCAAGCACAAGGACCTGAGTTTGGTCCTCGGTACCAACAAAAACCAGAAAACAAAACAGAAACAACAGGTACTATATCTGTTTCCCGAAGAGAAAAGGAATTCTTGGGTGGGTGTTGCATAGCTCACAGAAGTGGTGTGGGTTTGCTGTGGAATTAGAGACCCTCCTGAAAGTCTGCCATCGGGCACCATGAGCCCAGGCAGTGGCTGCTGTGCCATCTGTGCGAATTCAGAGCCCATGAGAGGTAGAGGAAATGTCATCCTCTTTCCCTCACCTCCCCTAGACGAAGGAAAGGGAAAGCCGGTCAAATTAGCCCTGGGATTTACAGCCAAAACTCATGTGTTCAGTATAGTTGGAAAATGCATTTATTTAGGAATCACGAGGAATGAACTTAGCCTTTGAGGCGTACTGGTCACTGTGTTGAGGGCTTTATATCCCTAACATTTAATCTTCACAACCTTGTGTGAAAATTTAGCCATGATGATAAAACAAGGCGAGGCAGCTGCTAGTAAGAGCCGGCTTCCTAATTTGATTTCACATTTGGCTAGTCCAGAAGCTTTTGCTTTCCTGTTAATTCCACCACACCAGTCTGTCATGCAGCATGGTTATGATCATGAACAAAGCTGCACTGGCAAAATGTGTATTTGTATTGTAACTTTTATTAGCAGAATTGTATCAAACATTCATTAAGGGGTATACAATTTTAAAAAGTAGTATAAATTGAGTTTCCCAGTGATAGGCACTATGATTGATATATATATGTGTGTGTGTGGTATATTACTCACTTGATCTTCTTAAAAACCCTATGAAAAAAGGCAATCCTTTGGTAATTGAAATTTTAAATTATAAAATGGATAGCAACTGGGAAAAATTTAAATTATTTATATTGCTATTAATTGGTAAATTTTTTATCTGTATAAGTCTCTCCTTAAAGACAAGATTATGCCAGTTTCCCCTTTTTTTGCATTTTTAGTGGTCTTGTCTCCTGCCCTAACATCTCCAGTATATTTGTGCCATTTCTCTGAAGTCTTTGGTTTCAGGTATGAATTGTGCTTATTTAAGCTGTGAGTTCATAATGGCTTAAAATATTACCTTTTTGAAAATTCAAACAGAGCTTTTCAAAGGCAAGAGCATATTGGTTCATTCATCAGGTCCTCCCTCGGTACCCAGAACAAGCTTCCAATATAGAGCAAGTAGAAATTAGTGAATGTTTAATTGAACAAATGTACAATGTGGTTGTGCATATCAGCGTACTTTCAGTTGATACTGATGCTGAAAGAACATCCTCTTGTTCAGTTCTATGGCTTTAGAGAGCCTTGTAGCTTGTCTTCAAAGGCAAGTGCAAGGAAATGGGACATGTTTCCTCTTGAGAGTCTAAGTGACCTAGGGTTGGAGAGTTCATCACAAAGAGTCTTTATTAGCATTGTCTGTTGGTCTTCCCAGGTTAAATTGGGCAGTAATCAGGTGCTAACTATCTTGGTTCCTGTCTCAGGGTCTTAAAACAGAAGGGTTCAAACACTCAGCTGGATTACTGATGCTTTAGTGGCTCAGAAGCCAAATTAATATTAAGTAAGTAATTTCAAAACACTTCCTAAGCCATTTTAGATTTGATAGCTTAGAGATTTGTATGAACTAAATTTACCAGTCTCATAGAGAAAAAAATGAAGTCTTAGTCAATGGTATTTACCATACTATTAATTTCCTGGCATAAAATACTCCTTAAGATGGTGCCAACATTCTCGTTTATTTTCAAATCTCTAGGTTTGTATTAGTATTTTAAAGGCATCAGGTAAAATTTAAAACTGTTTTAGTTGCATCTTGATACTGACTAGGTAGAGAGCAACCAGTAACAAATATTAAGTACAAAATACAGGTCAGTCTAAATGTAGGTAAAGTTGCCTATCATTAAGAAATAAGTTATGGATTGTTTGTTTGCTTTTTGGTACATACTCAACAGTGAGTTACATCCCCAGCTGCCACCATTCCCCTTTTTGGTATTTTTTTAATAGTATATAATTGAGATACATAAGAATTATATTCATCGTGGACCTAGCCCTTTTAAATTTTATTTTGAGACAAGGTCTCACTAAGTTGCCCAGGTTGGCATCGAACTTGCTACCCTTCTGCCTCAGCCTCTCCAGTAGTGGGGATTACAGGCATGTGCCACCATGCCTGGCATGGGCATGTTCTTAATCATTGGCAGCATTCTTTCTCTCTTTTTGTTTAAACCTTTCTTTTTGATGAAATTAAATAATTGTTGAGAAATGTAATAGTGGATAACACCTACTGAACATGAGCTTGGACAGGTGGTGTACTTTGCACTTCTGTGTTTTGCAGTGAAGTAAGTCTTTATCTTTCAACTGATGAAACTGTCTCAGAGATACAAAGTTCAAGGTCACGCAGCTGTTGGTACTAGAGCTGCATGCCAAAGCCACTTCACTTCAATGCCAAAGCCCAAAGCCCATTAGTTTTTACCATCCTTGAGACTTGTAAAATAAACTGCCAAGTGTAAAAGCTCAAGGGCATGACTTTTTTCAGAAATAAGTATTACTGCATAAATTTCAGGTATAGATTAGGTTAAAAAGTAATTACTATATAAATTCCAAGTGCAAATTAGGTGAGAGAGAAATAGGTTGAAATAGGTCTCAAGTGTTGGCTACTGAGTGTGCACAGAGGGGCACTTACCTGCCTTGGAGGTCAGAGAAGGTTTCCCAGAGGCGGCGGCATGTGAATGTGTCAGGAAGGTTGGGTAGGAGCCAGGGCTTGGACAGAGTGTGGACGTTCTTGTGGGGAGGTCCTGGCCAAAGGAGCAGGATATACAAAGAACAGAATGTAACGGCCAGCGTTCTAAGGAAAGCTTGTGAATAAAAAGTGGCCACATCCTCTAGTCTAGTGAAACACTTTGAATTAAGATCAGAGACGGGAGTATGTATTTTGCCCATTTCAGTATACCTTATGTGCCCTTGTATTTGTTTTAGGTCATACAAATTGGATTTCTCTGAAGACACTGGCCTAAGAAAGTTTTGTCCAGAAAGATCCACAGAGTTGTAAACATTATGCAGATGGTTATTGAAAATAAAATAAAACAAAATATCCTACTGGTTTTTTTAGTAAGGAGAACAGAGCAAGAAACCATACACACCCAGAGCTGGGGAGGCTACTGGAAATGGGTCAGAAGGAGGGAAGAGCAGATGAGGGCTGAATACATTAAAATAATGTGGACACTCTACCTACTTTCTTCTTTAGTGAACATACATTTCTTGGATAACTGTAAAATTATTTCTCAAAAATTAGAACCCTTCAAATGAGAAAAGTGGTGGTAGACAGGGAATGTGACTATATTTATAGAACAGTGAATAGGTAGATAGGTGGACTTGAATTTTTCCATTGTACATACCAGTTAAAAAGAGTTTGTTCAACAGCAAAAAGGAATAGTAGCACAATAGACTATTAAATATGTGACATTCTTTAGTATAAGCTGAAAGAAATTGAAATAGTTTAGATGCAGAGCAATAGAGTACAGTGATGTAAAACACTGCCCTTAGGAGTGGATTCTGGAGTCCCTGCCCTGCCTTCCTGACCACCATGTAATCTCAGCAAGTTTGTAAAATATACAGAATCATGTCAGCCTCAATGCTTGTGAGGAACAAATACGGTCAGATGTGTAAAATAATAATAACCTACATCTAGTAAATAACCAATATCATTAACATTCTTATACAGAAGTCTCAACCTGACAGCCTGAACCTAATTAGGCCTACAAGTATATTCTATTTTGCAGGTATGGCATTTGAAAAGAAGAACTTGAGTGCTTTTAGACAGGACATGTTCTTTCCAATTGGCCGCTGGTCCTAGCATGAGCTCTTACCTCACACCCAGCCCCATTCAGACATTCATATTTCTTGCTCACTGTGTAAACACTTGAGTGGGCCACCAGTGGCTACAGAGAATTGCTGGCTAGTGGGGTAATAGCAAGTGACATACAGCTTGAGGCTGGCTTCAGGAAGTGCAGCTGTGCTTTCTCCCAAAATGCTACTCTATTTTAATTATTGTTTACACCTTTCTCCCACACTCATACCAAGTTTCCTTGCTTGCGAGTCAGAATCCCCAGAATGTACTATAGATCTTGATGGTGCTACAAAAATCTTGGTGGTCTGAGTAAGTGTGGCACAGTGTGTCATGGGAGTGCAACTCTCAGAATCTGTTCACTGGGGCTGGGACCAGTAGGTGAAGGATGAACTGGAAGTGTGTGTCTAAGATGTGCTAGCTGGGGAATGCATACGGCATCCAAGAAGCTAAGTCATTGGGTACAACTGGGAAGCAGGACAGGAAGGAAAAGTGAGGCTGGAGAGAGAAGTCACAATCACATTATGATGTTTGGTCTTTTAAGAGTGACACAAGAGGGGCCGGGGATTTAGCTCAGTGGTTTCGCCGCCTGCTTGCAAGCACAAGGACCCGAATTCAATCCCCAGTGCCAAAAAAATGACACGAGATAAGTACTTCTAAGATGACTCATAACATGTATTTATGCATGTACGCATGGATATTTAAATTATTTGAAGTGTAATTGTGTATTTGGATCAGTAAAGCCTTGAATCAGATACAAGATAGAATGTCCTTATTGTTATTTGCTAATTCTGTGGGTGGACTTTTTCTTCCCCTGCACAAATACTATTTTCCTTTCCTCATTAAACAGCCTTGGTTTGGTGTACTGTTTTTCCTTTTATTTTTAATCATGATTAATCTTCCCAGCTGGTTAGTTATATAATAATATCCTGTGTGTTTAAACACGGTCCTACATAATGAATTTCTCAGTGAACAAGTTCAAGAGCTTTCAAAACCACAAGATCTCTTTGATGGGTGCTACAAGAATTCTTTGGGAATCCAGCATTAATGATTTGCGAAGCTATTTCACTATATTCTACATGTTTTTCTTTTTGCTGCAGTTTTATGTAATCTTAATTTTCTAATTTGATTCATAAGTTGAGAAATTTCTCACTTAAAGATAAAGCCTCTACCCTTTTCTTGTAAGCTGTTCACTGTGGTTGTTAGAAATAGACCTAAGTCTTGCTTTGGGGGCTGTGTATAATATACTCTTTACTATTTTTAAATAATGAATGTATTTTTCTTTACAAGCAACTCACATGTCTCATTGCAGAAATCTTGGCGAGAAAATACCAAGGTTGTAGGGGTTAATTATTTTAAAAATCACATATAATTTCGTCAGGAAAGAGATAACCACCATCCATCCTTCCAGTTCTTTCTTTGGCATACATAACATACAGCAGTGGTACACTTGATGTATTGTTTCTAATCTGCATCCTAGCTTCACAATACGATGTAAAAAAGGATATATTAGAAAAATCTACTTTATTTTTATTCTACAGAAGATCATTTTAATTTCCTAGGAATATGTTCTCTCTCTCATTTTGCAGTTGTGGTCCAGATGTACTTAAGGGCCCAGCCTTACAAGGTTGGCCTTTCCTTTATTCCTTAAAATAAAGTGTTCAAGCCACTCTCCCATGTGATATTCTCTGAAAAGCCGAGGTAACCTTTGGCGGTATTTACAGGGAGCTCCAGGGCAGACTGGAACACGAGATTTATGACTTACCCTGCCACTGCTCATGATAGGTTTAGTTGTCTCCAGTATGGATGAGTTTGAGCATCTTTTTATATACTTAAAAGCCATTTGTTTATCCATTGGTTTAATTCTTTGTATTCTTTGTCTAGTTCATGATCTTAAAAAAACTTTCTTCCTACAATTACTTTTAATACTTTCATATTTTTATTTTCCTGCATTTAAATCCGTATGGAGTGGACTGGGGATTTAGCTCAGTGGTTCTGCTGCCTGCCTCGAAAGCACAAGGTCCAGAGTTTGATCGCCGGTACCAGAAAAAAAAAAATCCGCATGGAGTTAGTTTGAGGCAAGGTATGAGGTATGGGTCTGCAGATGGTTGCTTAGGCCATGAGATTTGAAAGGCTAAGCATATATTCATATATTCAGTTTCCATGTGTATTTAAATCTGAAAGGTATTTTAATAAACTAGAGGAGGTCACCTTTTAAAGGAATTTTCTCTTAAACCCTTTTTACTAAAAATACTTTTGGGGAAAAAATCCTTTTTGAGGAGTGGTCACTTTCTTGGTTATTTTTAGAAGTCTTTTTTTTTTTTTTAAAAATTACTCTGTCTAAAGTAGGGTAGTGTAGAGCCCAGAGAAATCAAATTTTAGTCTCATAGCTTTCGCTGTCTTTTACTAGAACAAGAAAAACAAAGCATATTTTCTCATTCTCTCCTCCCTCCCTTCCTCCCATTCTCCCTGCCTTCTTCCCTCCATTCCTCCCTCCCTCTCTCTCAGAAAGTCAGCAGAAGGGAGGAGGAGGGTAAACTAGAGGTCTTTGTAAATCACACTGCAAGTCCATTTGCCTGAGCAAAAAAATGACATTACATGGATTTAAATCATCTTGACTATCTGTTTTGTTTTTATTCTCTGTGTTGAAGAAAGCCTTTTCTTTTCCTTCTTTTTTTTTTTAAACCCAGGGAACACTGAACTACCTCCCAAGTCCTCTATAATTTTATTTTGAGATAGGTTCTTGCTAAATTGCTTGGGCTAGACTCAAACTTGGGATCTTCCTGCTTCAGCCTTCCCAGTAACAGATTACAGGCATGTACTACCACGCCTAGCTAAAATATTTGTTATGATCCCAGATTAACCAAAAAACAACAAAAAAAAGCTTTCGAGTTGGTTGAGTTGGGTTAGCTCAGATGTGAGCCATATATCGAAGAGAAGCAGTTTGCAGGGTCCAGGGCTCAACCAAAGACTGTGAGGCAAACTAATAAGGTAGTTCCTCCTAAATTTACTCATTCAGGTAAATTTTCAGGGTTCATTTAATGTGGATGTAGCTGCTGCCTCTCAGTGAGGACTGTTCTCCCCACACAAGGTCCTGTTTTCCTGTTTTCTGTTTTAGCTCCTGATCCTGGTGCCAGTCTCAAGCACAAAGAGGAGCAGAAGTCCAGCTTCACCTTGGGCCTCTGATGATGCTGGGTGGGGGGGTGGCTCTTAGTTTCTGCTGGGCCCCATCCTGGCCAGGAAAGTGAGGGGTGCCTGTGACCACTCCCCTTGTGGCCTTGCTGTGGTGTGGACAGTGGTCAAAGTCCAGAGGCCACTAGGTCTCCTCTGTCCCCACCCAGCAGGGTGGGGACTGCACTGACACCATGGGGCAGGACCCTTTTTACTGTCAGCTGGAGACAAGTCCAGGCTCCTGTGGCCTTCTCTGAGGTCACACTGTGGAGGCGGAGCCCTCGTTACAGCTGCTACGGAGGCAGGGCTCCCACTCCTTGGGTGGTATGGCTGGGATGGGCTGCAGTTGTATCTGTAGTCACTGTCAAAAAGACTTTTTTGGCCTTGTTCGGCTGCCCTTCTGGTCCTTTGGCACTGTGTCTTAGTCTGTTAGGTGTTGCTGTAACAAAATGCCCCTGGTGGGTATTGTATAAAGAAAAGTTCACTTGGGCCATGATTCTGGTGGCCCGAGAGTCACAAGGGCAAGTCCGGAGGGCAGCATCTAGTGAGGGGCCCCTGGATTCATCACTGTGGCAGATGGCATCATGGAGAGCACATGAGTGAGAACCCACATGGCCGAAAGGAAGCAAGAAAGCGGGAGAGGCCAGGCTGGCTCTCCCACAACAGCCTGCTTCTGCAAGAGCTAAACCAGTCCTGCTCCAGAGAGAGCCCGTTCACCCACCTAGAGGGCAGAGCCCCGATGACCTAATTGCCTGCCACTAGGCCCCACCTTTTAAAGGCCCCACAATCCCAAAGCCACCACAATGGGCAACGCTCTTCCCACACACAAATCGTCAGGGGACAAACCATAGTAACTAGAAAGAACAGGCTTGTGCAGATTTTGAGGTTGCTCCTCTTCATTTTTCTGGGTTTCCACCTTCTTCAGATCCACGTGTGGGATATAGGAGATCAAAAGAAAACCTAGAGAGCAAGAGCGCATCACCAGCTTGTTCTTTGGATCCTGTCTTAGTCTGTTGCTGGGACACAATACCTGGCACCCACAATTTAAAGGAAGAGAGGTTTATTTTGGCTCATAGTTGGGGGAACATCTAGATATAACAGACCCTAAAGTGCCTGGGGGTCTGCCTTCTGCCCTCCTTTCTTCAGTGTAACGTTCAGGGATTTTAGCTGTACTTAGAGCAAAGGGCGAAAGACACCCCTGCTCCATCTGCCTGGAAGCAGTCGGGAGACAACTTACAAGGATCAGTTACCTTCCTGTTGTGGCCTGCCGCTGGGCACGCTGCATCCCCCACTGGTCAGCGTCTGGCACATGATAAGAGCTTCAGGATGTTAGTGACTGACTGAATCCTCAGTTTCCAAATGAAGAAATTTAGGGGATTAAGTAATTTTCCCTAAGCCACACAGCTAGTAGCAATGGGAAGAACTGGGATTTAAAAAATGGGCCTGAGCTCTCAGAAACATCACTGGGCACTTATGAGATGCAAGGTTCCTTTTGTTCTCAGGACAAAGGATGAGTGAGAGGAGGCCTCCAATTGAGACAGCCACAATGTGACAGTGTGACACTGTTGTACTGAATTAACAATGTACTTGCATTCTGCAAGCCAGTGCCCAAAGCTGTCAAGTCTTTCCTTCCATTCACTGCCAAACTTCCTGCCGGCGTCCTAATTACTTCTTAATTCCTGTGCAAATGGGTTTCCACTCCAGTTTCTCCTCAGCAGCTGCCCTAAAGAACAAATTCTGTTTTGTTTTTTGTTTTGTTTGTTTTTTGCAGTGCTGGGGATTGAACCCAGGACTTAGGCAAGCACTCTACCATCGAGCTACATCCCCAGGCCTTTTATTTTTAGTATTTTGAGACAGTTCGTTGCTAATTTTTACTTTTATTTATTTTGAGGCAGGTTCTTGCTAGGTTGTCCACACTGGCTTTAAACTTGGGACCCTCTTGCCTCAGCCTTCCAAGTTGCTGAGATTATAGGTGTGTGGTACCGTGCCCAGATCCCAATTCTCATCCTTTTAAGATTCTCTGAAGCATTTCCTAACATTTCCCACCATGTCCTGACTTTTGGCCTTCATGATGTTCCACTTTCTTGATCTGCTTTCTGTTTTCTCTTTCTCCTCAAGTTCAAAGAACTGCTGGAGATCCCTCCTTTCTTTTGCTGACAACTTCTCCTTCCCAGCTTATCTAAGGACACAGCCTCAACAAGGTAAATGCACTCACTCGCTCACTATTCATTGACTGAGCGCCTGCTAGGTAGCACACTCTGCCCTGTAGCAGTGGACAAGGCAAACAAGGGAGCTCTCCTCATGGAGCTAGTATTCTAGTGGAAGACAGAAAACAAGCCACAACGAATCAGCCACGGAACACAGCGTGTCAGCAGTGTTAGACCTGTAACTGTGTGCACGCTCTCGGTTACCTCTTAGACTCCAAAATGACTGAGGGGAAGACTTGTGGGTGTAGAGC